TACTATTCTCAACCTGGCAATTGCAGACTTTATTTCATGTGTATCGTGCTTCTTTTTATGGGGTCAGCCGTTTTTCATCCAAAACAACGAGTTATACAATGAGTTATACTATACCATCACCACTTTTGGCTGGGGTTTTGGTACTTCCGCTTCGTTCCTATGGTTGACATTTCTCTCTGTACAAATTTTCGTAATCACAAAATTTCCGCTCAAAAGTCGCTATTGGTTCACCACTCTAAAGATCGTATTGGTTGGCACAGCAGTTTGGTTCTTTGCATCTTTATTGGGTTTCACTCAGATCACCTACGTTTTTCATTTGCCAGAAACGATGGGTTTAAAAATTTGGACAGCTCATATAGGGGTACTACAAATCGCACTTGTCGTTCAAATAGTTTTGATTATCCAAGTTGCGATCGAGATAATTCGAAGTGGACGAAGCACTGGAAATCCTCAAAATGCCAAGCACAAGAATATCGCAAAGACTGTGATAATTCTTACACCGATTCTCTTCCTCACCGCCTTTCCTTATTTCTTACTGAAACAACTAGAGTTCTTGGCAAGGCTGGGATACTTTGATCATGATAAAACCGCCGGATCATTACTTCATAACCTCTCCTATCGCTACGCACCAATTGCCATGCTAAATTTCGCGGCTAACCCAATTCTGTATGCCTTACGTCTACCTGACTACAGGCAAACTTTGCTCGCTTTCGTTGGTAAAAGCAGGAGTAGTTATCGGAGGAGATCAACGCAGAACATGTCGTCACAGTTAACAAACACGTTCCCCTTGAAAAGTCAAAGAGAAAGAGCCGCGTCGACTATGTCTGAAAAGAAGTGAAATGCACTCTGAGTTGAAACGGCTACCTATTCCCTCCCAACACTGATCAGCCGATGTGATCAGAGATATGATGGCATGCTATATTTGTTGCATTTTAGTGTTATAAAATCAAAATACATGCTATATTTCAAAACGACCACTCCTGACCAATAGGCATGCATGTTCAGACGATAATTTTTAATTTAAAGTATCCATAGATCAAGTATAGTCAATATTAGAGTATAGATTAGTGTTTAATTAAATATTAATAAACTTAAGAAAACGGATTCTGAAAAGAATTTTCGTAGTGTATAGCTCCTGTTCTTTTGCAAATTAATTAGATTGTCAAAACTGGCCTTTCTTTGCGCAGTAGCGGCCCATTTTCAGATCGTTATCGTAGGTGAAAACGTCGACTGCTTTAGCTGAAGTGAAGACAATGGAAATTATGAAAGTGCAAAGTTTGAAGCAAATCTTATAGAAACGGTCGCTCGCTTAAGGCTCGCCGCGGCACCAGTATACTTGGCCTGGGAATGAGCAAAGAAAAATTGAAAAAAAATAGTACTCACAAAAAAAGTATTTGACGTACACATATATTATCAGTATCATGAGTATGATGTTAATATATAGTAGTTTAATTAAAGTTATATAGTGTTATTGCTGTGTTTTCAAGAGACAGTGTGGTCCCGGGGGGTCGCAATGTTTCTTCAGAATCCCTTTATTATTTCTATTTTCTCTTGCAAAGACTACATCGTTGACATTCCCACCATTCTTCTCTTCTTCATCGAACCATATCCATTTCGGCTTCGCCAAGCACAGGGTCATGGTCGATAACATAAGCAAGATGACCAAGAAATTCTTCATGACTTTTGCAGGAGTTCAGCTTCTCGAACGCTTCTTCAACACCAACTTTGTATTTAGCAGAATGTTTTACTGTTCACTTTTGAGCACAATGAAATGTTGAATGTTCAGCCTGGCTTTTATAGAGCAGCATACTTGGCTTGCAAAGACCTGCAGATGTTCACAGCTTTGACACATTAAGGGACCCGTTTGTTTTACTGACGCCATGCATCCTGAAAGTGCTGTTCAAAATTAATGAACTAGTAGAGTAGCTACGGATTAGGTTTAAAACAAAATTGTTATAGGCGCGCATTAATTGTTTCGTGCCTTAACAACTTACAGTGAGACTACAAAATGACAAAATTTCATCTGGACTTTTTTATCAAGATATTTCACAAACGTGTTCTAGATCTATCGGTATATAGAATCATTGGATAAATGATTGATTTGACACCCAAAGTATGACACAAAAATACAATTATCGTTAATGTTTAAGGTTAATGGCTAAGTTATCGTAATTATTAAAATTAATGGCTTTTTGTAGATGGCTTTTGGCACAGATGGCAATAGTTTATACCAATTTAGGCTTAATAAAATACTTCCAACTTACATGTAAACTTTTATATGAAAACATGATATTTGCACTCTGTATGCTTTACAAAAGCACCACCAAAAGTCAGCATTTTCTTTAAAATTCTGAGCTGAAGAGAACTACCCTATAATGAGTGTCTGACGCTGTCTGTTCAGGTGTCAGTAACTACACGCGTAAAAACGCTCCGGTTGTTGCAATACTGATGAAAACAGGATTGAACTAGAGGGCACTCAGAGACTCCATACCTCCGTCCGTATACCTTGGAATTTCCTAACAAATCCACTTTGCAATTCTTAAGCATAAAATATTTTAGACCCCCGCGAATTCAAATCGAATTGCTAATAGATCATATTACTGTTGTTGTACTGTACTTGTAAAATAAAAACTTATTACTCTCGATTTCAATTTGCTTTTCAAAACTGACTTCCAATGTTTACTTGTAAATTCGGAATGTTCGTTGTAAAGTTCCGAAGTTTGTTTCGAAGTTCGTTACGATGATTTACGATGATTCAATAGCAAGCGATTTGATTGGCTGGTATACACTTAACTAGCCAATTACAACTTACTAAACTTGATTATCGTAAATCATCGGAACAAACTTCGAAACAAACTTCGGAACTTTACAACGAACATTTCGAATTTACAAGTAAACATTGGAAGTCAGTTTTGAAAAGCAAATTGAAATCGAGAGTAAGTGTCATTACATAAATGCATAAATTTTGTTTTATGCACTCGCGTGTGCAGTAATTTTGATAGTTGTCCTATTTTAAATTCCCAGGCAGCTAAAATCTTTTGTCCTTAAAACAATGTCGATTTCTTGGGAAATTCAGGCATTTTATACACCCTGTATTGAAGTAATCTAATATATGTTATTATAATTTGAATGGACTGGCCTTTGCTGAACGCAATAATGCGTAACTCCGTAAGCCTTGTTTTAGACATTGAATTTCGGTCGCGTGAAATGCAACTAAGACACTAGATAATGAAGGCTGAAGCTTAATGAGGTTGATCATCTCATTATTGTCTTAGTACTGCATGCATACATTATACACGTCCTAATTACGCATTCAGTATTTTTTTAATTGCTCGGGAAAAGTAAGACAAAATTTTGTTCATTTCTCGTTCAATTCTTAACCAAATTCAACCAAAATTTAACCAGTTCTTCCTTAGCCGATGGGAAATGCATTCAAAAAATTTCGCATGAATCTGTTTGGTATTTTTTGAGTTATCGTGCTGACAGACAAACACACATACACACATACAAACCCAGATGATTACATAACCTCCTGGCGGAGGTAAAAAT